TTTTTAGTCATAAATGGATGTTGTATCTTATCAAATGTCTTTTCTGCATCTATTGATAAGATCATATAATTTTTATCCTTTATTTTGGTGGTATATTTAAGATCAAAAGATTTTTATCCCTTATTTTGGCGATGTATTATATTGTTTTATCAAAACATTATCAGAAACAATAAATAAACACAAGGTTGCTAGATACAAAATGAGTGTACACAAAATCCACTACATTTCTATATACTAACAGTGAAATTTCAGAGAAAAAAAACTTTTCAAAAAACAATTATTTTGCAATTGGAACAAAAAGAATAAAATATATAGAAATAAACAAAGGATGTGAACAAAGGATGTGAAGAAACAATACACTGAAGAGTACAAAGTGTTATTAAAAGAAACTGAGTAAGACACAATGAAATGGAAAGATATTCCATGTTCATGAATTGGAATAATCAGCATAGTTAAAATGTCCATATTACTCAAAACAATAAACAGATTTAACACAATCCAAATCAAAGTTCCAATGTATTTTTAAAGAAATAGAAACAAAAGAAAATCATCAGACTTGGATGGAACCACAAAAGACACTAAATAGCCAAAGCAATCATGAGAAAAAAGAGTTATACTCCCTGACTTCAAATTATACCGAAAAGTAACAATGATCACAACAACCAATCATATAGGAAAACATATTTGTCAATGATACCTCAGACAAGTGTGTGATCTCCAAAATGTAAGAATGGGGGAAAAGGTGCAGGGATTAAGAAGCATAATTTGTAGGAACAAAATAGACAGGGGCATGTTAAGAAAAGCATAGGAAATGCAGAAGCCAAAGAACTTACACACACAACCCATGGACACGAACTAAGGGAGGATTGCTGGAGGGAGGAGGTGCCCTGGACAGAAGTGTGTAAAGGGGAAAAATTTTGGGGCAAATATAATAGCATATCAATGAAATAGACTTAAAAAATTAAAGAAAATTTAAAAAACCCACATGGCTCCACATCAGGAAAACAAGCAATCCAATTAAAAAACAGGCAAAGGACCTGAACAAACGCTTCAAGGAGAACATAGAGACAGCCCATAGATGCATGAAAAATGCTCAACATCCCTAGCCATCAGGGAGATGCAAATTAAAACCACAATAAGATACCACCTCACACTGGTCAGAATGGTCATCATTAACAAATCAACAAACAAATGAAGGTGAGGTGGTAGAAAAAAGGGAACCCTTATACACTGTCAGTGGGAATGTAGACTGGTGCAGCCACTGGAAAACAGCATAGAATTTCCTCAAATTAAAGATGGAACTGCCTTTTGATCCAGTGATACCACTGCTGGGACTATACCCTAAGAATCCTGAATCACCAATTCAAAAGAAACGATGCACTCCAATGTTCATAGCAGTACAATTTACAATACCTAAGTGCTGTAAATAGCTTAAGTGTTCATCAGTAAAGAGTGGATAAAAAAAAGTGGTACATTTACACAATGGAATACCAAGAAGGAGCTCCTACCCTTTGCAACAGCATGGATGGAACTGGAGAGAATTATGCTAAGTGAAATGAGCCAGGGGGTGAATGAAAAATACCATATGATCTCACCTACAAGTGGAACCTAATCAACAAAAGAAACACATGACCAAAATAGAACCAGAGACTTGGAAATAAAGAACAAACTGACAGTGACCAGAGGGGAAGGAGAAGGGGAATAACAGGGGAAAGGAGGGGAAGGGCAAGCAAAGGAACAGGAATAGAGGACTCATGGGCTTAGACAATGGGGAGGATTGGCTGTGGGAGTCGGGTGGCAGAGTAGGGTGAGCAATTGGGAAAAAGGTGGGGCAGTGGTAACTGAACAACAATAAATTTTAAAACACACACAAACAGAAAACTCCACTTCCATGTGTATTTAGAATACAGAGTACTCTAAAATTTGAAGCACTCAACCCAACACATTAAAGCTGAATTTCTGCTACTAGAGAAGCAATCCTTTTACTCCACTTCACATAGTTGTAAGACTTATCTGTTCTTAAGGAAATGGGAAAGACTACAGGTGAAAGACAGATAAGAATTTGAGACAAAACCAAGAATATTTTCTTTAAGGTAACATATCAATGAAATGAAGAAAATGAAGAGATAACCTGTAGCACAGCCAGAAAATCCACTGAGCCTCTGTGGCCAGACCTGATAACCATAAAAAAGGTATATTTCTCTTGTACTTTTGGGGCAATATCTTACAAAATCTTGTCAATTTCTCCTTGTCCACAGCTGTTTTATCATCCCATTTTCCCGAGGTCATTGCTTCTGACATTACCTAAATCCTCACCTATAAAGCTCTTTCTTTACAAAAGCCACTCCATGGTTTTTCAAACATTCATGTTCATGTGTTCTTAAACATTCATTTAATAACTATCTGTTAAATAAGTTCTTATCACAATTGTTCTAAGTACTATGGACTTAAAATAAATAATAAAGGGAACAAAACTTTCTCAAGGTTCATAATTTTTAAGTGGAAAATGCAGAAAATTAATAAACCATCAGCAAAGTAATTTCAGAAGGTATTTGCTGAAGAAAGTTAATATCTGAACTTAATGAGAGAGGGACAAAGTTATATCAGGAATAGTACTGCTAAGGAGGTAATATGTGAGCTAGGGACAGAATAAAAAGAAGGAATCTGCCATGGGAAGATAATGGGATATAAATCTGAAAGTTGGAATAGTGAATCCAAAACTCTGAGGAAAGTAAGTAAACCTATGGTATGCTAGAGATACAAATAATGGGTAAATGTGGTTGATGTGTACATAGTATAGGTGAGAATGGCAGGATATATTGTTGTAGAGAAAGCACAGACCTAGTAACTTAGAAATTGTCTTCAGTGGTAGAGAGCTATTATGGAATTTTAGTCCTGGTAGTGACATAATCTGAAAACCTTGTATACTCTTAGATAGACTAATATTCCTAGACTAATATCTGGTCATTGCAAATAATATTTTGCTCAGGTGTCTTTTATTGCCTACCAACAAAAATAATCTTTTCATCTATTAAAGATGTGAGTCATCCAGTCCTGGGTGTGTATGTGTGTATGTTAATTACAAAGCTAATTCCAACTAGGGTTGTCTTAAACTGACAAAATGTAGATCTAAATCTAGGTCCCTAAGACATAAAGAATGTATGTTTTGCCCACCACTCACTCCATCATCACCATCCTTGATCCCTTGACATTCAGATTCAAAATAAAAGATGAGGGGTAAGAAAGAGGAGAAAAGGTTGATGGATTTAAAAGGTGTGTAGCTTTCATTTGGTGACTGGGTAAAATGGTTCAGTGCCATAGATAGCCTGCTTACTTTGTCTAGAAGCATAATGAGAAGCTGCAGAACTTACAAAGACCAGTGCTATTGACAACCTACGACTACAATAGTCATTGGTCTCTCATCATCATTGTAAAGACATAAGGTGAAAGTAGAAAGTGATTCACAGGACAAATTCTGATCACTGTGTAAGGACAATAAATGCCTAAATGAGTTAAAGTTGTCAAGAAATGGCATTCAAACTTATAAAGCATAAAGATCTTAAGCCTTGAAATGAGAGTTTGACTCAAGGTCTGAAGATCAAGACTCCCTAAGCAAGCTAGCAATAACTCCTCTAAAAGGGATTCAGTTAATGCCACTCCTACATGAGGGTCCACAGGTCAGGGCATGGCCTCTTCTTTATAGATTCACTCAGGCTGGAAACTCTGTCATCTCCTACCACCTAATTCCTTCTCATCTACCCCAGTCAATCAGATACCATGACCTCCTCACTCTTTCTTTGTTCATTCTTTATGTTTTACAGACCTCACTGCTTTTCTTGGGTTTAGCACATTATGTATATTCCCCTGAATTAGCATCCATTTCTAGTCTCTGTAATTTTGAATTTATTTTTGTGTGCATTAGGCTTCCCCCCGGTCTAATTTCTTAGTCATTTAAAGTTCTAAGAATATTTATTGTTTACTCTTGCCAATAATGAGTTTTTAAAAAGTTTAAAAGAGGCGAGGGGAAAATGCAGACAACTGTGCTTGAAAAACAATAAAATAATTTTTTTTAAGTAACAACTTTTTTATATATTTAGGGCTTTGCATAACCTAGTCTTTCTTAATACCCTACCTACATTTTATTCTCTCCTCTCCTTCCAGAAAGATGTTTTCATGCAAGTCACCAAGCCCTAGTTTGCTCGTTTGCACTGTGAGCCTTTGATAGTATCTTAACTCCTACATGAAGGCTTGGCCCCTCTTTTGCTTTAAAATTCACGTGATATCCTAACTTTAACTTAGTTTTTGTGCATGTTACATTCAACCAGAAGATAATGCACAATGGTTTCATGTGTTTGAGCCCTGGCTCCCCAGTGAGACAGTGAAACTCTTCTGGAAGGTGCAGGCTGTTGTTGGTGGATAGAGTTTTTCTGGAAAGGTCCCAGCCATCCTTCAACTCATCCTTTTATCTCCAATTTTGTCTTGACATATGACAAGTGTGGCTCAAAATGTCCATTAGCACAAATTGAAATAGTAACTGAAGCTTAGACCTTGGATCCCTACAATTTTATTTTATTTTCTTATTTTTTGTTGTCGTTAAATTTATTGGGTTGACAGGAGAATATAGGTTCCAAGTCCACAGTTCTATGAGTCATCATCTGTACATTGCAGTGTGTGCCCACCACCCCAAGTCTGAACTCTGACATGTATTACAAATCTACTTTTTTTTTCTTAGGCAATGCTTACCACCTTCTTTGCCCTCTACAGTAATATTGTCACACTGCAGTGTAAATCCATGCCCACTTAATTAACCCTTTCCAAACTATGGAAAATTTCTCCATCTTGCTAACCTCAGACCCTCTAGAATCTTTCCATAATGCATACTTCTCAAAAGAGCTGTTTCTTCCCATGTTTCTCCTCTAACACAAGAGCAAAAATGGAAAGGACACAGTATAATTTATGATTACTGGATAGAAAGTACTTTATTAAGCAGAAGATGTGCTGTCAAGACCAAAGCCCAGATCCCATTTTCAGAAGGAAAGTGGTGAGGACACAAGTGGGCACCGGTGAACTGGGAAGAGGATTCAGTGGTACTTGTGGGCCAGAGCATTGGCGACTCCAACCACCAGCTTCTGCCAAGCTGCCTGCACATCAGGGGTGAATTCCTTGCCAAAATGAGAAGCCAAGATGATCACCAGCACGTTGCCCAGGAGCTGTTAGGCGAAGGATAAAATGTTGAGTAAAAGTTTCCAAAATAAACTGTAGTAAATGCTGGCTTAATTTCTAAATGCCCTGCCAACTCTGTACCTGAAACTGCTTAAGGGTCATGCTGACCAATGAACTCAGATAAGCTAGCCCCTAACTTTAATATATTTTCTATGATGTCTCTGTTCAGCATTCTGCCCACCTGTATCTCCATCTTTGCTTTCACTTCACCATTTTATTTGCCCTTCTCCCTCTGTGTCTCCCTCTCTCTCTCATTTGTCAATTGCCTGATTCCTGTAAGCATTAGATTTCAGGGCTGCATGGGCTCTCAGAGTGAGTTCAGCTAGTCTCCAAACATTGCCAGAAAAAAGATCTACTTGGTCACAATACTGACATGTAATTGAACATATTTTAGAGAAGTTGTATTTTTGAGACATTTTGTTTACATTTTCCCCCAAATCTCTTCCTGAATTTTAATCATTGGGCAACTCATAAAATAATGCATTTCTCCTTCCCTGAGATAGAAGTATATCTACCAAAAGCCAAATTTTATTCCTCCTTAAACAAGTTTGCAATTCTCTGGTATTATTCTCCAGGGTAAACACATTCAGTTTTGACAAGAGTTTTTGAAAAGCTTTAAGCAAACTCAGATGTCTTGTCACTTTTTACTGTCACCAAGTAACAAATTACTGTCATCTTGAATGAGGTGACCTTGGTTTTCCCCCTGGCAATCTGCCCTCCTAACCCCATAACTCATAAATTCTGAGATCTTTGTTAGTTTTACCAATAAAAGACTCAACTTCCATTATTATCCCAAAGTAAAGAAGCAGAAAAGAGCACATAAACATTTTCTGAACTCACCTTGAAGTTCTCAGGATCCACATGCAACTTGTCACAATGCAGCTCACTCAGCTTAGCAAAGGTGCCCTTGAGGTTGTCCATGTTCTTAATGGCATCTCCAAAGGAGGTCAGCACCTTCTTGCCATGAGCTTTGACCTTGGGGTTGCCCATTATGGCAGAGGAAGAAGATAGGTTGCCAAAGTTGTCAAAGAACCTCTGTGTCCAGGGGTAGACAGCCAAAAGCCTATACAGAATGGAAGCATAGCAAATGAAAAAAATAAGACTCAAAAAATTAAAAGACTTTCCCGATCAATTTTTAATCTTCATATCCACCATCCTCACCCATGCATTGAATCCCAGTTCCTACCTGCCCAACGCCTCGCCTCCAGCCTCCTCCACATTTATTTTGCTCCACACATTAGTGATAGCAGCCTTCTCCTCATTAGTAAAATGCACCATGGTGTCAGATCTGAGAGCCTACGGAGATCGCAGAAGTGCCAAAAGCAGGTATGTCTGCTGCTGGAAAGGGTAGCCTTTTATTCTTTACTGCTCACCTTCTGGCCCCTTAGTACTTGGAAGTCATTGGTCAAGGCTGAGCTGTGTCCTTCAGGGGTGGAGTCAGGTCAGAAAAGGGTCAGCAGTGAAGATTGTACTCTGGTTTGTGATTATGTGCTTGGTTCCTGAAACATCCTTCCTCTGTTTGCTCCTTCTACATGGTCAACACAATTTTTTATTAATTCACTCTCTTGTCTTCCCATATCATCCTCCAGGATAACATTTATCCCATTCTCTTTCTCCAAGTAAGACCCACAGAAAGGAGCTAAACCCAAGATAGGGAGAGAGTTCCAGTCAAAACAGCTTAATATTTGTGTTAAGGAGGCTGACAGGGGCACGAACAGGGTCAAGAAAAAAAATACAGTTGACATGAAATCTCAGCCAGTTCTGTCTCTCTTCAGAAGTTATCCTTGTAACTAAACCTCTGCTTCTTAGTTTTCCAAGAGAAACAAAACACATACATTGTTACCTCAGGAAGCTGAACAGTGTAGCAAAGGATTTACAATAGGATTGAGACCCCGATCCCAAATTACAATACATCAGCGTGATTCATGTAACAGAGTGAGTTCACATCCCATGCTCCTCAGGAACCCTGTCTGTGTCCATTTCTCTGTGACTACAGAGGAAACTGGCTACTTCAGGGAGATTGCTCTGAGCTGCCTTCCTGATTTTCTGCCCTACTTACATATCTTCATACAAGTGAGACAATTTAGGAGTCTGAAGTGTTTTGAAACCAGGATTTGTAATCATACTGAAGAATAGATGAAGCAGTGTTCATTAGGCTAGGGGTCGGAGTATGTTTGATATTTGCTATAGCCATAGATGTTAGAGGCTTTAAATTTCTCATGTCCTTATGTTTGGATGCCCCTGCTGTCTTTTGGGTTCCCAAGTATTCATCATGAAACAGAGTCTGTACCTGTAACTTTTTCAGTTGCCACTACTGTTATTACATTTGAGTTTGGTTGATATTGGTAGTGAGGAATGGAGGAGAAGCATTCTATGTGTGTAAATAAATCTCACTATTTTGTGGACCAGCTGTGACCTTCACAAGTGTTTCTTAGTGTTTTTCTCCCTTGAGAAAGTCAGGGTTAGACCATATAGGCTAGCATGACAGGATTCTAGGGTGAGAAAGATATTTGATCACTAAAGTGGAAGAACAATGAATAAACAAGAGACAGCTGGCTATTCAGTAAAGAATACTCCCTGGGTTAGTAAAAGTTTTTTTTTTTATCCATGGAGCTAGGGCTCTAGGTTTCCTAAGCAAATTTCTACAGATCCACAATGTGAGGAAACTGACCCTTCCTTAGACCGTGGGTATGGAGATCAGGAATAATGGAAGCCCAGCAGATAAAAACTGGGTCTCCAAAGATTGAGAGCTTGGGAAACAAATCCCTGCCTGAAGCAGATCCTGTGAGTATATTCTATTCTCCTTCTAAGTCAGAGTGTAGACACCAGTCTTCTCTTGGACTCAGAGTATGGGGTCGGTCTGCCTCCTCCACCTTCACACCCTTTGCAAGCAAGGTTCGTGACTCTTCTCGTAAAGGCCTTTGGGACCAGAGCTACTTGCCTCCAGGGATCTGCCCCACACTTTGTTCTCTTACTGCTAAAGGTTGTAGCAAAAGACTTTAAAGAAAGATGATAAGGTTGAAAGGCAGCATATCTATAGCTCACTACAAGGCTCATGAATTCTCATTCTGAAGTCAGGTAGGCTGAGTGCAGTCTCATTATTGCTTAAGTAGTTGTCGATTAAAGCTAAATTATCTCAGACGCTCATTTTGAAGCATTTTATTTATTTCTATTATAAAATATCATGATTATTTCCTTCCATTCTTGACTGAAAAACCCAAAATTTAGAGAAATAAGTGAAATAGTTATTCAGGATAGTTAGAGTAATAGTCAGAGAAATAGTAAGTCAAAATAATTATTTATTATTTATCAAGTTAAAATTAATAAAATAAAAACATTATATCTAAAAGTATTTTAAGACTTTTGTTTTTTAAGATTATTTATCTATTTATTTATTTTTAGAGAGAGGGGAAGGGAAGGAGAAAGAGAAGGGGAGAAACATCAATGTGTGGTTGCCTCTCACATGTCCCCCCCTGGGGACCTGGCCAAAACCTAGGCATGTGCCCTAAACTGGGAATTGAACCAGCAGCCCCTTAGTTCACAGGCCCATGCTCAATCCACTGAGCTACACCAGCCAGGGCAGTACTTAAAAAGACCTTTAAATAGAAACTCTGGGAGGGTCATGCTGATGCTTGCCTTCTTTCTGCCTCCATCTTGGTTCCATGTTCCCACACAAAATGCCCAGTGAAGCCACAGAAACCATCCTGCTACAGAGCGGGAGTAGCCACGACCCAGCCTGAGACAAGGTCAGAAGCAAAATCTGACAGTGATGAATCAGTGCCAGGGCTCGAGGAACAACATTCCGCACAGGCAACCACACAATGAGCCCGGCGGCAGCAGCAGTTGAGATCAATGAACCAGTCAGTAAACAAAACAGAGTCAGAGTGAAAAGAAGGCATAAGAGGTTATGTCCAAACTGGGTCTTCAACTGCCTACAATGGTTATAGGGTCACTTTCCAGAAATCTAAGAATATCCTCTTTGTCATCACACAGCCAGATGTCTATAAGAGCCCACTTCAGATACCTATACCGATTTGAGGGAAACCAAGACGAAGGATTTATCTCAGCAAGCACAGCTAGCAGCTGCTGAGAAATTCAAAGTTTGTGGTGAAGCTGGCTGTCTCAAATGTTCAAGAAAACATGCAGACTCCAAATGCACAGGAGGAGAGTGAAGAGGAAGAGGTTGATGAGATGAGTGTGGAAGCTAAGAACATAAAACTGATTATGACACAAACAAATGTGTTGAAAGGCTGAAAAACAGTCTGAACCCTGAAGAAGAGCAGTAACAATATTGTAAATTCTATCGTGGAATTAAAAATGTAACCATTGAAAATTGAGGACCTTTTTTTGGTGTTTCAAAAAAGTAATTGTGGCTTGGTTTATAATTTGTGCTGTTTCTATCATTAATTAAGTTACGACTTCTTGTGGAATGAAAAAGTATTTTGAAATTTGTTCAAGATTAATCCCTGCCTTTAGGATATCAAGTAGCATTTATACTTTTATGAGTGTTGCACAGAATTTTAATTAATGGAAGATGGCTTTTTTTAGCAGGGAAAAAGCAAGTATTTTCTTAAATTTTGCCAGCTAATTTATGACATATATACCATCCTATGAGGCAAGTATTGTGTTATCCCACTGCTGGGATTATACCCTAAGGATCATGAATCACCAATTCAAAAGAGCCTATGCACCCCAATGTTCATAGCAGTGATATTCACAATCATGAAGTGCTGGAAACAGCTTAAGTGCCTATCGGTAAATAAGTGCATCCAAAAAACTGTGGTACATTTACACAAAGGAATACTATGCAGCAGAAAGAAAGAAGGAGTTCCTATCTTTCATGACAGAATAAATAGGAACTGTAGAATATTATACCAAGTGAAATAAGCCAGGCAGTGAAAGACAAATACCATATGATCTCACCTATAAGTAGGGCCTAATAGACAAAACAGAACCAAGGACGTGGAAATAAAGAACAAAGTGACAGTGACCAGAGGGACTGGGGATAACAGGGGAAAGAAGGGAAAGGGGCAAATCAAGGAACATGAACAGAGGACTTGTGGGCATGGACAGTGGGGGGAGATTGACTGTGGGAGTGGGGCAGAGAGCAGGGCAGGGGAGAGCAACAGGGAAAAAGGCAGGACAACTGTAACTGAACAATAAAAAACAGTATTGTCTTCAGGTGTTATTAGTGTATAGAATTATGTAAATTACATTGTTGTTAGATAAAATGGGTCTTTAACCCCACTGCATTTTTATACTGTTATCTCAGAAAAACAATTCAAATGTTAATCATCATCACAAATTAATTATTTAATTTTTAATTTTAAAATTGGAAAATTATAGGCAGGGTTTATAAATCACTGAAAGTACAAAAAACTGCTTAGAATTTTTTATTACAGAGGAAAGCAGTTCCTTCATTTACATTATGCATCTGAATTTCTATCATTCTTATAATAGAAATAAGTGAGACCAAAAGTTCTGTCAGGTGTTGCATTAGCCTGAAATAACTTGGATAAAAGTCTTGCAGTTGCCATGCAGGAGCTAATGAACAATTTTTGGTTTGATTGCACAGAATGAGAAAGTAGAGCACAGCCTGCTGTCAGGTGACACTCCTGCTTTCTAGGTCTTCTCTTACAAAGCTTGTATGTGACTCTGAACCAGAGCTGGGGCTCATTCTGAGCGACGTCTTTTAGTTGGTGGCTCACAACATGGACATTGATGGTTTGACTGACCTCTGTCTGGGACCACTGTACTCGTGGTGTGACCAGATGCAGACACATGTTAATTAAGCCAGATGCATCTTCATTGGGCAATGGAAATGGAAAGCTGGAACAGACCAGCTATTGCACTTTTCTATGTGGTATACCTCAAAGTTTAAAGCCTGCATCCAGCAAGTGAGGAAGTTATACATTTTTTACTTTCCCTTGAAATGTAGCTTTACTTTCTTGGTTTTCTTGATGCTTTTTGACCTTAAGTAAAATTGCCTTTATTTATTTTTATGATTAAAATTCTGAGAAACCTGTGGTGTTTCTATCTTAAATAGTATTGCTAATGTAGTCTATGAACTAATAACAACATAGAAAAAAGTCTCTGGAAGAGTCAGAAGAAATGACACCATTGTTGGAGCCAGTGCTTTCTAATTTTCCTTTCTCTGAGTTTATTGTACAGCCATAGGCCTTTGGTCCATATGTCATGGCTTCTACCCAGGACCTAAGTGGAAATTTATAAACTTTGTTCAGTTATAGTTCCTATGAATTGTACATAAATACAATATTTCAGTTTCCACTTAGGGTTGATTCAGAAATACTCTTCTAGATATAGGGCTTAGAATTCTAAGAATTTCATTTTTCGGAAGTGATAGGCAAAGATTAATTCTATGCTAAGATTCTATCTTACTGTGAGAAAATTGGGAAATTCTTG